TTTTTATTTTATTAAATAATCCTAATTATTTATTCAATAGTTTATTTTTAACTGTTTTTGTTCCCAACAATCGATAAAATCAAAACAATATTTGTGACGAGGTTTGATTCGAGAATGGTGGACTTTCGACCCTCGACCGCACGAAAATTTTTTTTATGTACGCTTCTGTTAACATTCAATACCTTAACTTTACGTATTCTGAAATCATTTATTTGAACTCTTTGTAGAAAAAAATTAAAATTATCAAAGCGAAGTTTTTTATTTTTTTAAACAATTAGAAAGATTTAAAAGAAATCTCAAAGCTATTTAGAATTATATGTTGAATAGCCAGGTAATTTAAATTGCCTATTCACGAATAAAAGTTGGATTAATTAAGTATAATAATTAAAAAGTAATTTTAAATAAAACAATAATTAAGTATTTTTGTATGCATACAGTTACTTTTCTGTAGGAAAAATATGAAGCCTAGAAAATACTTGGATTTTGTTGTGTTCTAATGTGTTTTTTAGTTTTCTGTGTGTATATGAGACATTTTTTCAATTGATTGAATATTAACATCGCACTGTTCAGCTACACGAGGGCTTTTGGCGACGGACCACGTCATTTTGAACCATGGTTAAGTGACGTGGACGACACCTGAGCTGGCACCCCCTCTCCTAACTACCATACCACACCAACGGGAGGACGTTTCAGCTCTCGACAGATTTAACGTGCATCGCTGCCCTACACGGCGGGTCTTTAGTGGCACTGGGATCGAACTCGTGACAAGGCAAGCCACGATCTGATACCTATACCACTCGGCTACCGTGGACCACACTTTTTCAAAGAAAAATAACATATGAAGAAAAAATGAATTATTTTGCTACAAAAGCACTTTTTTATGTATAATTTGATATTGATATATTCCTGTTAGGATAGAAAAATGTCTTTAAATGCCGAAAAACAACTTCTTTGAGAATTCTTTAATGATGAATCATCGCTGCACGACGAGGATTTGTTATTTTATGTATTTTCTAGTTGGAAGAAGTTTGAAGGGGACGGTTTTTCAAGAACTATCTACTCTTGCACCAAGAGTAGATAGTTTCTCAACCAGTTTCTCAATTCGTATGCTACCCATGCTATTTTTAAATATAATTTAAAAAAGAAATTGTTGATCATTTGCATTGCATCTGTGCTTTGAGTAAATATAATTCAAATGGAACGTTTCATTGTATGTTGTTGTTTTTTTAAAAGTAATAGTTCCATCCGCGAAACCGACATCGATTTTTCATTGGTACGTTTCTCATCATTCGAATCATCGAAGTGTATCGGAAAAAACCACTTGCTAAAATTGGGTAAGAGGGGTGGAAGGGCGGAAAGGGGCATGCGTAACAAATTGCTAAAAGAGTCTTTTTAGAATATAGAAACATGAATTTTGTAAACTCAACGTAGAGTGACCAACTCTTACAATGACTATTTCTTCGAATTTCAGCTCTTCTCCACAGAACAGTGGTTTCTAAACCATTCCATCCTTATTGTAATTCTGCAATTGTAATTGGAAAAATATTCCTCACTATTAGATTTTCCAGGAATATTATGAATCGTATTTAATTTCTAGCCTTCCCTCCCCAACTAAGATATCTTCTATGCTATGATAGAATGTTTATATATTGTTTCAAAACTAGATTTACAAAATTTATTTCTCCTCCCTCTCCACTCTAAGTATGACATCATATATTGAAATTGGTATAAAAGTAATTTCTTAACAGCTTTTGCTGAACCTGGATTTACTTTTTTCTTTCATGTCTCTTGCATCTTGAATTAATGCATTAAGGTATCCGACTACGTTCGGAACCGTGATTTTGCAAAAGCGTATAAATGGATAATATTTATATTTAGTGTCACTTCGGTTAGAATACATGTATAAAATTGTTTTAAGGACATTTTTTGACAAAAAAAATTATTTAAATACAATATTTTGACAAAAAATAGCATAGAATGACCCATATTCAAAATATTCTCCTTTTGTGAAAAATGCTTCTATTATAATAATATTTTGCCTGTATATAGTTCAGACCTCAGTACAGAGGCTCAACTAGAATTTTTGAAATATATAACTTAGAAGTGGGTTTATTCATGTTTTACGTCAACAGAGGGGAGAAATTTTTAGAAAAAAACGCCGATAATTATTTCAATGGGTAGTAACTTTGAAAATGTAAATTTTTCAAAAATCATAGTTGAACCTCTGTACAGAGGTCTGAGCTATATACAGGCAAAATATTATTATAATAGAAGCATTTTTCACAAAAGGAGATAATTTTGAAAAAAGGTCATTCTAAGTTCATTTTTTGCCGAAATATTGTA